ATGGAGTGGGCGTTGGAGACCACGAAGGGCATGGTGGACGCAGTCCCGTATGATGGATCGCAGCTGAAATACTGCGCGTGTGTAGGCTGGGGCGGCTGGGTTCCAGCATTTAGCTTTTGTGTGCCATGGCTCTCGTCGCATGAGCAGGTCCCAACGAGCTACCGACCATTGACTTTGCACCGAACAGTGCCTGGATCCCAGCGTCAGGTTTCAGCAAGGTGGGTTGCAGCAGAAGATGCTCCGGAGACGATCGCGGATCGCGTCGTGACCGAGGATGTTTTGCTCAAGCGCGGCGAGGACAAAGCAGCGGTGATGTTCCGGACCTTGCGGCCCATCCCGCGAAACTGGCAGGTGCCCGGTGCCCTGAAGAGATGTTGCCATCCCCGTAGTCTGAGATGGATACAGGTGGACATGATGTATAACAAAGATGAGAAGAGTACCGACGAGTTCTTCCAGGAGCAAGGCATTTGCCGAGGTGATGTTGGCACAAAGAGATACCCAGCACTTGGTCCTGCAGTACGCTGTAGACGATCGAAGCACAGACTTTGCCCTGCCCTGTAAAATTCAAGCTGAAACCGCTACCGCAAAAATCCTCCAGCCGCCCTTGGAACTCAGGCACTGAGAAAGAAAAATGCTGACCCGCCCGTATGGCTGAAAGCCACGGGTATGAAGAAGAAAGTCACCAAGAAGAAGGTCATGAACATGAATCTGAAGACTTCGAAATCGCGATCCAAGAAGTCTGGATGAGCCCAGACACTGGTGGCAAGGCGTTTGACGGGACTGCTCCTCCTTCAGAAATGGGCCTTGTGTTACAGGTCTCATCCCAGTCGTGGTCTTGTTCTGTACTGTGGGTTTTGATTCTTGGCGCTGTCTGTTCCCGCTCTCCATATCGAACCACTTTTGCGCAACAGCGGCTTGCGCTAAAATCTGTCTCTCTCCCTCTCTCTCTGAGTTGCCATGGATTTCCGAGTGCCTTTTTCTTTCAGCCCGACTTCGATCTGTTCCTCTTCTAGTGTGGAAGGTTTTCGGTCCCTCGAAAAGCACAGGATCCTTCCGGCGAGTGGAGTACGTGTAGGTTGCCATCCTCTAAACACGCACGCCCCAGTGACAGGACGCTGCACTCCAGCAATCTCATTTCAATTTTAAGTCACTTGAGGATGATGAGGCTCAGCGGCTACCGCAGCCCATTGCACTCGTGGTTAGGGAAAGCCAGGAGTGTCGCTTGCGGTGGAAAAGTGCTGAAGCGTGGCCGGTGTGGAATGGGGACTGTGCATAAGAAATTCTGCTTTGCAAGCGGCTGTTTGACGGAGGGTTGAATGAATTCCACGCTGCCTTTTGCTTTGGGGGCGAGTTGGCCACGAGTGGCCACTGGGCCGATGGGAAGAGCCCAGATGTTGCCTTTACAGACGCAGCCAGCGACTCAATGGGCTCGTGCGGTGCCGCTCTCGCGAGTTCCTTACGCCGTGCCCCGGGTGTGCCAGCGAGCCCAGAGAGCGCAGCGAGCGCAGTCAGCTACAGCTGGCCTCCTGGGCTTGAGCCTCCTGTGGTTGAAGGGCCGATCTGGTGCAAGCAAACAGGCCTGTACCGTTGAAAGGAGTGTGGATGTTGTGTGTGGAACTCCATGAATGCCAAAAGGCTTGCAGACCCCCGCGAATACTCGCGTATGCTGCAGCCGCCTCCCTCGCCACGGACGCTGTCGTAGAGGAAGCCTTGGAGGCGAGACGTATTCTTGCCTTGAGCAGAAACATCCGGTCGGTTGTGTGGGTTATGCGCCGAGCATGCCAGGGTCGAGGCCGAGGGGCAGAAAAGCATCCACAGCTGCAGTTCCAACGTGATGGAGCAGGCGGGCCGGGCCGGGGCAGTTTGTCTCGCGGCACAGAGAGCATCCGAGCATCTGATGGCTCCAGGAAATCCAGAAAAGCTGATGATCACTACGCCATTGTTTTATGCCAACGGCTCCCCCCACATCGGTCCCTTGGGCTAGCCTTACGGATTGCAGTAGAAAGCCGGAAAGCTGCCGCTGTCAGACAGGTAGCGCATATCCAGCAATCGCATCGGACGTTCTGGCGCGCTATGCGAAACTGCGTGGGGCTGATGTCCACTATGTGACTGGCATGGATGAACATGGCGAGAAAATAGCACAAACTGCTGTGGCTCGGCTTGTCGAGGAATGCCATGGCATTTTTCTCTGCTTGTCATCCAAGCGTCCGCAGTTTTGCCTATGAGGCCAGCAAGGACAAGACCCCACAAGAACTGGTGGACGGTTTTGCTGAGGAGTTCCAGGTCCGGGCTTCCGGGCTTCTGTGCTTCTGCTGAGGCTGGGGGGGGGAGGAACTCTCTCTGAGTGAGGAGCTCTGGACCCTGCTGGACGTCGAGGCCAACCACTTCGCACGGACCACCCCCGAGAAGCACAAGGCCCGGCCCCGAACGGCCCCAAGAAGCCCCGGCGACAACGGCGAGCTGGGGCCGGGAGTCTGGGAGCGGAAGTGTGTGCCTCGCGCTCTGGGCTGCAGGCATCCTCAGTTTCCCAGTCATACTTGCTGACATGGCCTGGGCTGCAGGCAATCGTCCGTGAGATGTGGCAGCGGTGCTTGGAGAATGGTGACATCTACAAGCGTCTTGGCAGCCTCGGGTCCTGGGTCCTCCTGCCGGCGTGAGGCTCCCGTCAGAGTGCGTTCTTGACCCAGGAAGGACTACACTGGCTGGTATTGTGTGGGATGTGAGGCGTATTTGGATGACGATGAGATGTCTGAGGGGCACATCTGCAAAATCCACCAGAAGGAATGCATTCAGCGAAGTGAAGAGAACTACTTCTTCCGATTGTCCAAGTATTGGGACGACATCCGGCGACACATAGAGAGCAATCCCGACTTCATTTTGCCCACCAGCCGCCGCAGTCAAGTGTTGGTCTGGTTGGAAGAGGACAACAAGCGAGACTTCTCCATTTCACGGGCAAGCACTTCCTGGGGAATCCCTGTGCCCGACGACGACTCGCAGGCAGCTTCTTCGAAAATCACTGGCTTTGAATGTGTGTCTACCCCTGGTCCCGGGAAACGGATCGGTTTGTGTGTTCCTCGAAGTACGAAGATCCCGGGGCAGTTGTCCCTGCCTTGTTCATTTGGCGCTTGTTGCTGCCGCCAGGCATGTGTGCGTCAGGGTCAGGCTTTAAGATGTTCTCACCTGGAAGGGAATCTCGGCCCCGCTGGGGTTTGCGCAGGTGATCTACGTCTGGTTCGACGCGCTGCTGGGGTATTTGTCTTCTTTGCTGCAGCCCGATGACCCGGCCACCTTGGAGACGGTGCTTTCGCGCGGATGGCCTGCGGAGGTTCATGTGATCGGCAAGGACATCATGCGATTTCACGCGATTTACTGGCCGGCCATGCTGATGTCCGCCGGCTTACCTCTGCCAAAGCACATTTGCACTCACGGCTTCCTGACCAAGGATGGCCTGAAAATGGGAAAATCCCTGGGAAATGTGGTGGAGCCAGTTCCACTAGTGGAGTCCTTCGGTCCCGATGCAGTTCGATTCTTCTTCGCCGCGTGCCTCGCATTCGGCGAGGACGGGGATTTCAGTTATGAGACCTTCATAAAGAGGGTGAACAGTGCCCCGATCCGCAGTATGACGTACGTACGGATGTCGCATGGCTGTAAATTTTCAATTGTTGGCCCATTCCCGAGGCACCTTGGCCAACGAGCTTGGGAACTTAGTCCATCGGATCCTTACCTTGTCCCGGAAGAACCTGGAGGCGCCTTGCTCCCCACAAGATTTGGCGAGCTCGGACGCGGACCTCGACGATCATCCCGCCAAGCTCTCAGAGTGTGCCTGGGGGCGAAGTCTAGGAAGGTTTCTTTCCGGGTCAGGTGCGTGTTGCGGCCATGCGGGCTCCAGCAGCCGTCGCTCGCCACTACGAGCAGCTGGACATCCCCAAGGAGGGTATGCGCAAAGCTTGGCTTGTTCTCGTGCTTCTGCGACGGGTCGGGAGTCGGCAGTTGCCTTCGCACGCAGGCCGTCCTGGCGGCTTTCGAGATTGTGCAGGCAGGCAATCTGAGGATGACCCAGGCCAGGCGTCAAAAGGGAAAACAGCCGCTTTTTTCTCTTTGGCTTTCAGAGTCCGTAAGACTGCCTTTTGCCATGGCTGCCATGGCTGCCGTGATCAGGTCGAGCCCTGGGCGAAGTTGAAGAAGACCAGCAGCGAGGAGGACAAGAAGACGGCACTCTGTGAACTGCTGGTGATGGCCGAAGGCGGCGTGGAGAAGTTGTTATCGTCTTGCTCTTGTCCCTTCCCTGCTCCGGCTGCATCGGCTGCTCCGGCGAGGTGCACGGATCTGCGCGACGCTGCTGTCGCCCGTGACGCCTCGGTTAAGTCAGAAGATCTTGGAGGAGTTCGGCCTCGAGCCGGAAGGCCTCTCGGCCTCGAGCCTCGAGCTGTAGCTGCAGCTCCAGAGCCCGGCCTCTGCCCGTTAAACGAGGACGGCTCGCTTGGAGTCAGACGGCGTGGTCCTGGGATGCGCCCCTCGGCTCGGCGGGACTCCGCTCGGTCCCTCCTCTCATCTCCTCTCGCTTCTGAGGATTCCCGGCTTGGCCGCTGGGGCCTTGGCAGCCGCTTGCAGGGCCGAGTTCTTTGCCTGCTTTGGCTTCTTTTCTGCTGGCAGGCCGGGGCGAAGCCGAAGCCGGTCTTTCAGAGGATCGACCTGGAGCCTTGGAAAGGGAAGTGAGACGCAGAGCTTGGGGCTTACAAGGCATTACAAGGCTTACGGCCTAGGGAGTGAGAGGGCAGGTGGAGTTGAGAGCTTAGTCAGGTTCCCTGTTTTCCGCACGCCCAAACGGGATGTTGCGCGCTAGACGTTTTTCGCGGGCAAAATGGAGGTACTGTACTCTTTCGACTTACAAGACCACGCGATGTGCAAGTGCTGCTGACAGAATGCCGTCTGCACCTCCCCACTCCGCGACAGCATGAGGCTTCTAAACGAGGGTTGGTGGCTTTTTGTGTCCTCTTGGCATGGCGGCTGGTGGTGCCGTTGCCACGCCACGGCGATTTGCGCTGTCAACGCTCTTGAAGGGGTGGCACGGCAGCAGGCGAGCGCAGATGCAGTCACTTTCGTCGCTACTCATGGCTGCAAGGTTGAGAGGTAGCTCTTCGCGGACCTTATGGGCCATGATTGCGGGCGCCCTCCTTGCCATGATCCTCAGGTACCTGCAGGACTCCTTGCCCCAGGGCCCAGGCGGCCCAGGTTGCGTCTGACTTCTGGCACCCGATCCTCTGCCAGGACCTTTACCGAAAGTTCCACAGACAGGAAGCTGAGTCGCTGTGGCGCAGACACGTGGACCTCAGTGTGGTCCAGGCCCGCGCTGCGCCGCTGTGCCGCTGTGCCGTCCGTCGTTCTGTCTGAGTCTCTTTGCATCCTTCTGCCTAAAGGCAATCTTGCTCACGACGGAGCACTTGAAATCCTTGGGCCGCGTGGAGAAGCGCACGCTATTCGTGAAGCCCATTACAGAAGTCTTTAAGAACGAGTTTGTCTTGGCTAATGTTCTCAGCACAGCCGAAAAGGCTGTGGAAAAAAACGAACCATTCCTGGTGACGCAGATGTCTCAGGAAGACAAGTGGCATGTGCTGACCACTTGCACGAATCACTTGAGCTCCTGCTTCGCTCCATATCATGTCTTCTTCAATGAGGCCCGTCGTGTGGAGTCCTACTATCAGTCGGCATGGTATGTTTTCACCTTGACTTGCGCTCAAACCGAAGCTTCTGGAAGATGGTTTATCACGCCTCTCAAGCCTGTGGGGAAAGATGATGTCGGAATGCTTCGCATCCGAATCGTCATGATGAACGAGCAGGAACTGAGAGAGATCGCCTCTGGCGCTATCGAGCCTCCAAGCTTTGGCTTCTTCAACGGGCGCGCGCCTCAAGGGTTTCCAGGGGCTTGTCGTGCAAGGGCCGTTGCAGCTGTTGCATGCGTGGCCCGCTGCAGCCCTGCAGGCGCCACGAAAGCCGATGGAAGACTTGCCAGCGCTTTGCGGAACTCTTTGAGCGACAGTTGACCAAAGTTAGCGGCCAAAGCGACGTGGGGGATGCTGAGTGGGGTCCTAACCTTTGTGGTAGACTCTCGCAGTCACACAAGAAGAAGGCAGGCAGCAATCCCTTGCTAATGGCCATGGGTGACACGGCCGCGCAGCAGAACCCTGCTGAAGAGAATTGCATCTTGCGAATTCATGTGCCGTTCCCGGCGGGCCGTTCTGCGATGGAGAAGACGGACTCCCAGAGACGTCTAGAAGAGTGCGTCTCCAAGGATGTAGTACTTTTCGAGTAGGTCCGAGTCCCAGGCTTTAGGGTTTAGGGCCCCCCCGTTGTGAGCTTGTCAGCCAGCATGGGAAAGCCGTCGCCTGGGCATGTTGCCACTGTCTCACGAGGCGCTCAGGCGCTCCTGCCGAGCCCGTGCTCCTGGTTTCCACCAGTACGCTCTGCGTCGAGCCCCGTTTCTAGCACTCAGCTTCGGCAACGTCCAGACGCAAAAGATCCGCATGCCGCCTGTAATGTTGAAGTTAGGACGAAGGTGAGCTGGATCCTTTTTGTGAAGAACGCACATAGAGTCACGTGTTTCATATGCAAATACCGACAAAGCATGACTCGCAAGAAGATGCCAAGCGTGGCAGCTGCGTGGCTCCGGCAGCTGGCAGTCATGTTTGCCTCTCCCCATCTCTTGCCAGAGGCTTTGGCTTTGGCCCCGGGCGATGTGAGGCCTTGGCCTTCGAAGTTCGGAGGAGGAGGCTCCTCGCCGAGCCGACCCGGGCGAGCCCCGAAGCCGCCGAAACGGCAGCCAAGCGGCTTCCGCCTCCCGGGGGGGGCCTGGGCCTGGGCGGCTTTCGTGCCCGCTGCACTTCTGGCAAGGCCAGGTGTGGGCCGGGGGGGCCCTGCCGAGTCTCACTTGTTCTGTCCTTTTTTGATCCAGGTCCTGCCGCAGATCGGCTGGAGGAGAGATGCGATCTTTTCCTCCACGGGCACACATGCAACTGCTGGAAAGGAGTGCTGCGATGCCCACATTGGCTAAAGCAGGCAAGGAGATGTGCCATGCCGGCGGCCTTATTCAGAAGGGCAGACTTCTTGCGATCAGGCCAGAAGAGTCGCTCGCAGGGCGGAGGAGGACCAGGCACCAGTCCTCTGAGTCGCGCGTCCGAGTCGCGACACGGAGCTGTTCTTGATTTGTTCTCCTGGCGCCAGTTCGTGCAGAACATCAAGGCGCTGATGCCCAACAAGGAGGTGGTCTTGGAGGGAGACAGATCAGCCGATCAAGAGGAGCAGATGGGACAGCATTGCAGACAGTCTGTCTAGTTTGCAAAAGCATCCCAGTAGAACCTGATGTGTATGGGCTTGTCAGCACCTGAACCCAGGGAGCTGCAGCAGCTGGCCAGGGAGTACTTGGAGGAGCAAGGGATCGACTTGGATGAGATGCCACGCCCCGAGCTGTTGTCATTGCGGCAGCGACTCAGCGCCGCACGGATGTTTCTCCAAGCCTCTCTGAGGAATGTGAAGGTAATCGGCTTGCAAGACCGGGCCATGACAGATGATCCCGAGAAGAAGTACCGAACCGACAAGACCTTGATGATGGAAGCCTACGATCGTGGCGAGATACAGCTCATGGACAAGACCTGCCCCTCGATGTGCGATTGGTCGAGTTCGAAGCCTTTCAAGGCGATCTCTCCCGCTCGGCACAGGTACGGACCTGCTAGCCGTGAAGCCCCACGACGCGGAGGTCTGGCGGATGCTGACCCTGGGCCGACTCCGCCTGAAGCGCTCCCCTCAAAATCTGTGACCCTGCGACGGGCGTGGGAAGCCGGGCGCGATTTCCTCTCTCTTTCTCTCTCCTCCTCCGCTTGTGAGGCTCTGGGATGTGGCCCTGGAAGCGGCTCGGCGCTGGATCGCCTTCGAGCCGCAGTCGCTGAACCCTCGTTGCGCGGAAGCTTTCGCACAAGCCGGGAGCCAGGACGCAGCGGGGCGTTTTGTCCGGAGTCGCTGCCAGTCGCAGAGTTGGCAGGAGCGGGAAGGCGTGAAGGAGGCACGCGTCCGCTTTGCGCAGCTCTACAAAGAGGTCACCAGCATGGACTCCAAGGGCTCTGCTCTCAGACTCTCACAGCTCTGCTCTCTGCTCTGACTCTGGCCTCTGCCTTCGGCCCCGGACTCTGAGGCGAAGGCGTCCGTGATGTTGCAGTCGAGCTGCAAGAGTGCGTCTGGCGCTGCGATGAGCTGCTGGAGCATCGCAAAGCAGAGGAGCAGAAGGAGAAGGAGAAGGAGAAGGAGGCCCCTGAGGCCGGAGCAGCGGAGCAGCGGAGCGCGGCGGTTTTTGGAGCCTCAGCCTTTCCGTTTTGTCGAGGAGCTCGGGCCCCAGGGGCCCTGCAACCTGAGCGCTCGCCCGGCCACGGTCCTCACTGGAGCGAGGCACAGGGCACCGCCCAAAGGAGGATCCTAAATGTGGAGAACGGGTGCTTACTGCATGTGTACGGGTATGCGTGTGTGTTGGAGATTGGAGGCCGCCCCATTATTTTCTGCCGAACTTCGCGAATTCCATCGGTCCCATCAAGGTCGTCCAAGCAGAGGAGGAGGAGTTGGGAGGTGGGGCGATCCACCCCCGGAAGATCATCGTCACCAGGGACGTGGAGGCAGACCGCCTTCTGTTCTACTTGTAATGCATAAGGCTCATGTGTTCGTGAGCAAGGCAGGCGAGCCCTTGTTTGTTCAGAATGCCTTGGCCTTCTGTGCCGTGGATCAGGCACCAGAAATCAAAGCACTGCACCTGCTTGCCGGTCTCGTGTTCTGTTCCAGGCTGGGGACACGGTGAGGCTGAAGACAGCACTGGTCACCGCAGCCACACTGTCAGAACCTCTGCAATGGGTTTGGCCGCTTGGCCCTTGAGCCTGGCGCATGGCGCAGCTTGACTGGATGCGAGGTCCCCGAGGCAAGCCAAGCTTCTCGACATCCTCGTGGACCGCAGCGACTGGGAGGACTATCACAGCGATGCCGTCATGGCGGCCCTCGACGATCCGAAGGCGAGAGAGAGTTCCGGTGGGCTTGACGTTCGGGGGATTTGATCGTCCCCCGTGCCCGGGAGAGGGAGGGAGGAAGAGAGAGAGAGCGAGAGAGAGCCAGCGAGAGTGCAAGCCAGCGAGAGGGCGAGAGAGAGAGAGAGAGAGAGAGAGAGACCGCCCTCGCCTCATACCCCAAGCAAAGCAAAGAGAGGGGGAGAGGCGTTCTTGCCGGCGGCAGTGCTTTCCGATGTCTCTCAAGTCAAAGTAGATTCTTTCAAGCTCCTTGGCACTGAGGGGAAATGAGATCTTGACAATTACATGGTAGTTGTAACAGAGAGTCCGTTTCGATTGCAAATGGCTCGAGGCATGGGGGCCGACGATAGAACGGGACTTTTTTGAATGTCGTCGTTGGCCAAAATCGTTAGGATCGGCCGTGTCCCGAAGCCTTTACTGTACCACTCCGATACAGGGTGAAAGGCACTCGCGCAGGGGCTTTTAGTGAGAGACCTACCCGGACCCTCTCGCACAGAGAGAAGGGGAGAGCTTCCAGCTGGATCGAGCGTCGGCCGCTCTGTCGAAGGTCGTTCGGGAGTTTGGCCCCTGGAGCTCAGACGCGGAGGACATGATCGATCACCTGCAGGCAGCATCCCGCGGGGTCTGTGTCCGTGCAAGTGTGCGAGTTCAAGTCGCAAGGTCTGCGAGCAGCTGGTCTTGGAGTCACAGATCCTCACCGGCAAGAACTATGCTGGCATTTGGGTGCCAGGGACCCGGCTTCGCTTGAGTGCTTTGACTTAGTCGGCTTGGTGCTGCTGGCTGCGGCGCAGGCTTCCGGCTATGGCACGACATAGCTGTGCACCATCAGGCCCAGCTGCCGAAGTTGTGCGCCGAGTGATTTCTGTGTTTGATGCTTTCTGCACGGCCAGCTGTCTACACGATCTGGGGTGACGTGATGGTTGCGCGAGCTTCGCGGAATCTGAAAGCCGGAGATGAGGCCCCGCTTTGCTGTGCGGCCCCATCGCTTCTCTCGCGACCACAAGCATCGCAAGCAGCAAGGTCACTTTCGGATTTATGGACCTTTGGCTTCCCCTGGACATGCGCCAAGAGAAATTCACCAACGCCGCTGGTGGCGACGGCTTCTGGTGCAGGCCAAGAAAGAAAGTAAAAAGTGGCGGATACCCGGTCTTCGGGCTTTTGCGCTGCAGGTGCCCACGCTGCGAGGGGGAAGCCACCTGGCCCTCAAAGGTGGCCGGGAGCTCTGCTCAGCCGCCGAGGCCCACCTGTGTGGCCATGCACCCCCTAGAAGCAGCAAGGCCGTGGCGTCGGCGGACCTTCAGCTCAGGCACTTTCAACAAATCCGTCGGGCGGCTACGGTTATTCCCTCTCAGCACTCTCCCTGTGAGAGGTTCGAGAAGCAAAGGAGCCGGGTCGAGGGAATCCTGCGATCGCTGGACCTGAAGCTAGAAGAGAAGCGACAGGCAGTCGACGGCTGTTTGTAACATTGTATGAGCACAAGATGACTTAAACGTTTGCAAGCTTTGTCAGAACATGCAGAAGCAGTACGACGCCATCCGCGATGGGGTCTCAGAACCCACAAGTACTGTAGGTTGGGGGGGCACCGGCCACGGTCAGCGCCATGGATTGTTGAGGATAGTGAGGAGCAGCGGATCGAGTACGAAGCAGGCCGCGGCAAGGAGCACGACCCGTCTTGGAAGGATCCGTGCTTGCGGCTCAGGACTTCTGGGCTTGGCGGATCGCTTCGACAACTTGAAAGGGATGCCAAAGGACGAGGATATCGAGGAGCTCCGCAAATACTTCCCGGAGAACAATGAGCCAGAGCCGCGAAAGCTGCAATTGGGGCAATTGGGCGCGCCCAAACCGGAGTGCTCGGTGCTTCTTGCTTCTTCCTTTCCCTCCTTTCCTGTGAGGTTGGTCGAGGTGCGGGCCGACTTGGCCGAGGACCTCCTGGATGCGATCGTCACCTTCGAGAAGGAGGCCTCTTAGCAGCCTTTTGGGCAGCACAGGGTGCAGTGGGTTCGGCTTCGGGTGCCAAGGTGAACGAGAGCGGCTTGCCAGAGGAGCAGCGCCACTGGGTGCTTGCGAATCACTTCGCCGGGGAGCCCGGAGGAAGAACGAAACGGAACCAACGGAACCGACGGAACCGGACCGACCGGCGGTTTCGTGCCAAGGCGCAGTACAGCGAGCTCCTGGCCATTTTGCGCTTGCGCCGGGATGTGGAGGCCACGGCCATCCACGGCCCCGGAGCCCCACAGCTTCGGTTCCCATCTTGAGGCTTAGTCTTTTGGTTTCGAGGCCCAGCGCAGAGCGCTGGGAGGCATCCTGGACGCTGTCGGCACCCCAGCCGAGTACAGCGCAGCAGTGGTGGTTTTCCTTGGGCTTCTGCTCTGGGCTTCGAGGTGGCAGCGACGCACCCGGGTAGCTTCGAGCACCTGCGGCTTTCCGTTCTGCTCTGGGAGGCGCCGCAGAGAGACTCCGCGGTACATGGCGCCTTGAAGTCCTCTCCTCCGGTAGGTCTCGGCCCAGTGCGAAGATCCGACCCTGATGCGTGAGGAGAGTGGGTTAAGAAGATGGCGTCTTTCTCCGCCTTTCATGAGCTGTTTGCCTTCTGGAAATTTCTGGAGGACCTTGTTCGGGACCTAATCCCAGAGGAGCTGGACAGAGTTCGGGAGGCAATCAAAATCAGATATGGCACAGACCTTAAAAGGACACCTTTCGTTGTTCTGATGTACGGCAGCGTCGAGCCGACCTCAGGTCGCGATCTCGATGACACAGAGGCGCTCGGCTGATGCAGTGACGGAGGGGCAAGCGGTTGCAGGATCACGCTCGTACAGTACTCAGCTACTCAGCCTCAGCATCTGCGACGGGCGCCACAGTACGAATTATGTCACATTTTTGAGAACTCAGCATGCTTCGAGATCGTTCGCTTTCTTGGAATTGTTTGACACACAGATAGATCAGTGCGGCTTGAGGGCGAGCTTCAAAATACAATTCAGCGCACACAGTTCTGTGCGTTGCATCCGTGCCCGACTACGCGGGGGGGTGCCTTCAATACACATTCGACAGGTCCTTTTAATTTTCAGAGGGTTTTTTAATCCCCGCCATCACATTGCGGCGGATTTTGCTACTGCTTTGGCTCTTGCTGCTCCTACAGCTCCTGCTGCGGCTCTTGCTCTTGCTCTTGCACTTGCTGTTGCTCCTGCTTCTGCTCTAGCTCATACTTGCTCGGGCTGGACTCTTGCTTCTGCTTCTGCTTTTGCACTTGCTCTTTCTCTTACATCCCCCAAACTCGAATGAGGTTTTATAGTCGGCGATGATTCAGGAAATATCCCGCAAAGCGTTTTATCATTCGGGCTGTTCAAGGGTACCCGGCAGTCGCAGTAGGCCTGGATGCAAAGGGGGTGTGCTTAGTAGATGTGGGAGCGACTACTGGTCTGTCAGCACATCTCTATGCTTCTTCGCGGGTTGATGATGTCCAGCCGCGGCTTTGCTTCTGAAGCAGTGCCGAATGACAGGTGAGTGCCACAATGGCCAGGATCGCCTCGACAAGCATCATCGACGAGAACTGGATGTGGGACGTCACGCACGGTTCTAAGCGGAGCAATGCGATGCGAAGCACCTGGCCCACGGCTTGGGCCGGTTGACCGCTGCAAGCTCCCAGCCCTCCAGGTGGTGTGCGGGGCGGAATTACGCCGCCGAGCCCGCGAGGGGTCCTTCCGGCAAGGCCGGGAAATGGGAAAAGCAGTGCAACGGCACGGAAACAGAGGGGAAACGGCAGGGTGAAGAGCTGGCAGAGTCCGTTGAAGCTTTGCGCATTCATGCAGGTCCTACCGGTGCTCGGGTCTTCGATCCTGGTGTGACGTGGTATCGACCTAGTCTGACATAGCTGACATGGAGGAAAAGATGTGTCCTGCAAAGTGCCAGCTCTGACGGCCTCAGTTTCGCACAGAGTCTCTCATAGCCAGTCAAGTCCCCCACCATGTTGCCGCAGTTAAGCGGGCTCACGCATGTAGTCAAATGAGCTTAAACGTGGCAAGACACCTTTCGCCCTGGCCAGCCCGTGGCTGAGCAAGCCGCTTGAAAAACATGGTTCGGGAGCCTCTCCCATGTTGCTGTTGCACAAACGGTTTGGCCTGAAAATGTCGGGTTTCTCCACGCGGAGACGCAGTGCCAGAGTACCATTCCGACCCTAAGCCTAAGGTGGGACTGGCACGAGCAGAACGGGCCTAAGGGTGGAAGCGGCCAGCGGCCAGGCACCTCTGCGCGAAGCGAGGCGCGAGACGTCCCATCCTTGCGCCCTCAGGAGGCCTTGACTCGGTGACAAGAATGCCCCAGGGCCGCAGAGAATGCCGGAGGAGGTCGTGCTTGGCTTTTTTGTCAGAAGAGGTCCGGACCCATGGGTGGCTCCGCTGGCGCCACAAGAGTCATTGGTAAAGGCGAGAGTGCCCGGAGGTAGATCGAGCCATCGATCGATGTTCGTCTGCACCAATGAAGGCCAGCGGCGGCTTATGACCAAAGGGATCAAGATGGGTAGCTGGGTTGCCGTATCGTCAGTGCCCCAGGAGATCTCACGTAATCATAGCAGAAGCAGACGTGAGACTGCCCCGCTGTCGAAGCAGAAGCTGTGAGGTATCGTGTCCCCATCAAGCAAGAAATAGACGAGAATGATACTGGCCACTACGAAGGGAGGATTATTGACAAGCGTATCGGCGGCCAGGACCACAAGCCTAGGGCTTGTGCCGAACGGGGGAGCACAACGTTTTCACAGTGTTGTCCTTTTGCGCAGCTTTTGAGGATCGGGAGTCCTTCATCGAGCTTAAGGACGTTTTGAAGGTGGACATCGATGGAAACATTATCGGCAAAGAAAAGCAGAAGCGACTTATAGATGCTTTCATTGAGGACTGCAAGGCCATGTGCTTAAGTGCTCGCATGCTCTCCTGTGCTAGCAGACGCTACTGGCACCAATGAATGCTGGCAGGTCATCGACAAAAGAGACGAGACGTGGGATGCCATCAAGACGCAGAGCGAAGCTGCAGCCCGAAAGCATGCAGCCGAACAACCTGGGCTGTCGTTCTGCGGGCATTTCGCACACCGATCTGCTGCAGGAAGCCGCAAAGCTGCAAGCCCCGCCTGCGGTGGTCAACCAGGCCGATTCATCCCTTTTCCGGTCTTCGCCACGTTACTTCAGCAAAGAGCTGCCTCTGTCTCGTAACTTAAATGTCAGCGCTTTGAGGGGTCTTTGTGCTGCCCCCAGTCAGTGCGAGCAGATGCCTTAAGGGTCGTGTGCTATCCCTGAGACCACCAACGATGATGACGGCGACGGAATGCCTATGATGGGCATGATGCCGGGAATGATGATGATGCAGAACATGATGCAAGGCGGGAGATCACTTTGCAAGATTCGCACACTTGCTTGTAGTGGTCCGGAGTCAGAGTGTTAGCCCTCACTTGTAGGCATGATGGCGGCCAGCATGATGCAGAATGCGGCCATGATGGGTGGCATGGGCTGTGGAGGCTGTGGCTGCAAAGCTGGATGCGGGGGTTGCCCTGGTGCGTGCCCCGGCGCGTGCCCCGGTGCCTGCCCCGGCGCGTGCCCCGGTGCCTGCCCCGGTGCGTGTCCCGGTGCCTGCCCCGGTGCGTGCCCCAGTGCCTGTCCTGGCGCCTGCCCCGCGTGTCCTGGTGCCTGTCCTGCAGCCTGTCCTGGCGCATGTCCAAACAGCGGGGCCGGGGCTTCTGCCGCTTGCCCTGCCGCTGCAGCGTGTCCTGCAGTTGGAGCTTGCCCTGGCGCGTGCCCTGGCTCTGGATGCTCTGGTGGATGCCCCGGTGCCTGTCCTGGCGCGTGCCCTACAGGGTGTGCGGGCGCATGTCCTGGTGGTTGCGGATGCCCTACAGCTTGCCCGACCTGCCCCGCCTGTCCTGGTTGTGGTTGTGGTTGTGGTTGTGGTGGTTGTGGGTGTGGTTGCCCAGGTTGCGGATGTGGAGGGTGTTGCGGCGGTTGTGGCGGTTGTGGCTGTTGTGGCTGCGGCTGCCCTGCCGGCTGTTGCTGCGGAGGGTGCCCCGGATGTGGCTGTGGCTGCTGTCCTGGTTGCTGCGGTTGTGGCGCTATGGGAAATGCAATGTGCGGACAGGGTCCGGGCTGTATGGGCTGTGGCGGCATGGCCCCTTGCATGGGTGGCATGAGTCCCAACATTAGCCCGAGTGCTGCGCCCAGTGGTGGAGACGGCCGAAGCAGAAGTCGTAGCCCAAAGCCAAAGTCGTAGCAGTAGGTTTCCGGAGCTATCCCCCAAACTGCCAAATGGTAGGTTTATTTCACGGATGCGGAATGCCCCAAAAGACTCAGCAGCATGATCAAAAAGGTCAGATGCTGCATCGCCACACTGGCTTTTGCTTGTCTTCTGCCAGGTTGAATAGCCATGACATGAGACAGCTGGCGCATCTTGCTGCTGGCCCGAGGTTTCACTGACTGCTGCAGAATGGAAGTGACCACTTGTAAGCGTCCATCTCCCGAGAGTCTGGAGTTTTCACATCCAGAGCTAGTGCCTTTTGTGCAGCTACTCGGTGAACCCGTTATTTAGTTATCGTCGCCACGAAGCGATCCGCCGCGCGAGGAGCGCAAGAGTCCGCAAGCGCACAAGCCTGGGGTCAGTAGCATCCCCAAGCGACCCGCAGGAGCCTTGGAGGATGGGCTGCCCGGTGCTTACAACAAGCCTTCAGGAGATCTTGGCGACTCGTAAGCCCAAGGCTGTGATAGTAAGCCGGACATCAACAGTCCAACCGCGTGACGCCCGGACATGAGTCAGAACAGACGGTTTGCAGGCTTTGCATGTTCTTGCAGAGTGCAGGCATCCGCAGCCATTTCAAACAGGAGTTTGGATGCGGAGGACCGAAGGGCTACCGCAACTTGCGCTTGTTTGCATGCAACAAGCACGCAGGAGCACCACTCTGATTCAGTGTGGCGCCAAGGTTTCGTATGTCTCGCCGCGTGGTTCCTTCGGGAAGGATAAATTCAATTGTGCCATCGGCCTCTCTCGCAGCACTATGACACTGTGGCATCGAAACGGGAGAAGGCAGAGCCAAGAGAGACAGAGCCTGACTCGCAAGGCTTGGTGCGGACGCAAGAAGCGCAGCAAATCTCAAGGACCGGTGACAAAACGATATTTGCTTGTGCAAGTATGCGGCTGGTTCGCAGGCTTCTCCGTGGCAGCTCAAGGGCAGCGCCTTGACAAAACTCATGTTCAGTTCAAAGCCCGACTGTATTTCCTTTGCCGCCAGGCAGCAAGCGAATCATGGACCAGGCCCAGTGCGAGAAACGACGTGGGGTACAAGTTGTGCAGGTTTCCGAACTGTTCTGTGTGCAGGCCCTCTCTCGGAGGGGACGACTTGTCCTCTGCACATGCCAGCTGCAGCCTGAGAAGCTGTTGCAGGCTTTGTTCATCTTCTGGGGACGACTAGAGACTGACTAGCAAAGTCGGGCATTTGTCAGCCAAGCACCATGTATTTTCAACTCCTGAAGACAGCTTGATAAGCTTGGCAAGTGGAGCCGGCATAGGGGTGGTTGGGACCGGTTTCGATACTCTGAGGGTTCTCCGGCTCAAAAATCCATTCAGACGACGCATCACTCCGTACTTCTCTCGCCATCGCTTGTTGAAGCCCCCTTTGGGAAGCCTATACAGGCCTAGCTCTGGAGCCCACGACTTTGAGACCTCCCGAGGCCAGTCAGATCCGCCGAGAGATCATGAAGCTTCAATACCGCGAGGCTCTACCTCTACCTAGACTCCCACTCGCGGAAGCTACTCGTGGGTCGTATGCAGGTGACACCGGAAGACTACGAGCTGCAGATGCCTGAGACTGGAGAGAGCGAGAGCCTGTTAGGGGCACTCCCAGCGCGCTCCTTTGCAGGCTCTGTCTCTTAGACGAAAGCCTACCCAAGAAGAACACTCTTCCAGAAGCCTTGGTGCAGGCCAGGAGGGCCCGAATGAGCCATGTTTAGAGGATTTAGAGTCAGAGGTCTTCAGAGCTTTTTCAGAGGCTTTGCCCCTGGTGCCTGCGGCAGAGTGCGGCTCGAAGGTTTGTCAGGCGTCGCATCGGAAGGAACAGTGGAAGGAACGTGAGTCCCGAAATCTGCCCCAGGTTTGCCTGCTGGAACTTGGAGATTGTAAGGCCAAGCGCAAGCACAGAGGGACGTTCCTGAGCCGCACGCTTCTTGGCCGAAAGGTGCCACAATTGCCTTGCGGCCACGCGTTCCATTTTGAATGTGCCTTGCACTCAGTAAATTATTCAGTAAATCTCCAAGCGCAGCCTTTTGGAACCTGGATGGCCCTCGAGGCTTGCAAGTGGTTCACAAGCTGTTCAGCCAGGTGTCCGGTTTGCCAGGTTCCCGCAGTTCCCGCAAGTTTGTGCAGGATTCCAGAGTGTGTGCATGCCATGCCGTGCATGCCGTGCATGTCCCATGGTCTGTAGTGTCAGCAGGTTTCCATCCTTGACCCGCCCGTGGCACCACCTTCGACCGTCACCGATTCAGCCCCGGCCGGGGAGCTTGGCTTTGGCTTTTGGCGCTTTGTGCACTCACTTTGCGCCTCGGGGAGGCCAGCTCAGAGACCAAGAGCCCAGACAGTCGGTCTTGGCTGAGACGGGGTGAGGAATCCGAATCCGAAGCCGTGTAGTCCCGGGTCCATGACTTACCTTCCGCCGGGCGATGATCAAGCTTAATCCATTTGTTCTACGAGCTTGTGCCGCCCGTCCCTGCTGCTTGGTGCATGATCGAATTTGTATGTATATAGGTAGAGAGAACCTCAGGACTGAGTCTTCAAGGTTCATTGTGCAGTTGGTTTCTTTGCTGTTTCGTTTGCTTCGTTTCACGGAATTTGATCTCAGTCCATATGTGCACACGTGCGAAGTGCCTGTCTGTACACTGGCGAAGGCCAGCATCAGAAGCAGACTCCTTCGTACAGTTCCCTGGGCCTATGGCCTAGGGCCAGCGTCAGCGGAGAGACAGGGACTTCGCACGACTTAGGCCGTTATTGTTGGCTGCGTGCTTGACTACCTTCGGGCTGTCGCTTAAAGAGTTTTGTGCATGCCAGCAATTTTTCAATCAAGCGCTTGCGGCAATGTTTCCTTCTTGACCCAAGCGAGAACTTCAGCTTTTGAAGCGCCGTTGATTGGAACAGACGCAAGCCCTGGAGCTTGGTGAGTGGCGCGCAGCTACAGCTCGCATGCCGACACTCTCATCCTTGCGGTACCTCTCGTGACGCAAGGCCTCACTTTGTGTCAGTATCCAACTAGATTCAAGTTCACTCTCTGTCTAAAGTGATAAGCCTCGAGTTGCCTAAAGATATGCAGTGGCTTTAGCATGTTCGTGATCCTGCTGTTTTGTAGGCGATCTTCCGTCAGACTGTAGCTTGCTGACGCCGTCCCAGACCAGATGTGATCCTTACAATTTGAAGAGCCCAAAAAGCAGAGCTAGCTGCATCCAACAGGAGCTTGCAGGGGAGAGGGACTCTCACGACGCTGCTGTGGTAATCGCTTTGTGTGTCCTTGGCGCAGCTTTTGTGGCTTTGCACCGTCATGTGGGTCTGGCGGTCGCTGGGATGTGACCAAGCAGCCGAGCTACCGCAGTCGACGATTGCGGCTCTAGGCAGGGAGAAAGAGATGAGAGACAGAGATGTGGAGATGAGGGGAGAGAGAGCGGGAGGCTGAGGGGGTGCATTGTGCAGTGCCACAGGCCGGCGGTGCTGCAGAGACCAGCCCGAGTCGCTCCTTTCGCCCTCTCCCAGCTGGTTGGATGAGGGACTCCCCGGTAGCCGCGAATCGAATGACTCCGTGAAGGACTCCAAAGGGGAGTCTTACTGGCTCAACTCCTCGGCGCGAAATGACGTTGTCACGGCCGCATGGCGATTGGAGCCTCTGAACAGCCTGAGACTCTGCGTGCCTGCGGCAGTGGAAGTTCGCCCACCGGGACCTGTACAGGTTCTTGAAATCAACGAGAAGTCGGCCCTTAAGGGTTCGGCGGGCGAGAAGGGTTTGGCCTTCAAGAATGTAAGGGAAGCTGTTCGCCGGCTTTCCTCTCGCGGCGGAGGCACCTTCTGTTACCGCGTGCCGACGGCGGTTGTTCAGTTGCGAGAGGAGGCGAGCCGGGAAGTCTTGACCACCCCAGACCAGCCAAGTTGGCCACACTGTGTTACCGGTGTCCTTGTGGGTGCGATGCTCCGCGTCGTCGTCTCAGTGGATAGCTCGCCCAACACGCCTTCGCCTTCCTTGCCATCCTTGCCTTCCATCAACAAGGACGCCGAGGAGGCACGAGCTGTGATCATCGAGTGCGAGAGCTGCCGTCTCACCATCGTCCAGAAGGGAGGGCCTCTCCTGGATCCAGCGAAACTCCACGGCTGCAACGATGAGGGAATCGCCTACGAGTTTGACTTGTGGATGAAGAGGACCCGCAGCAAGCCCAATACCTGGAGACTCCTCAGCATCACGCCAGAACAGGGCGCCGTCGAGGATCGCTTGGTGTCAAGTCTGGCCTTCAATCCGCCACCGGGTGTTCTGTCAACCCACGGGAGGCAGATGGGGGACTTAGTCTTGGCGGCGGTGGCAGATATTGAGTTCAGTATCGAACCCTTCGAGCTCAGCTATGGAGAGTCACACCTGGAGTCCCTTAGGCAAATGGTGGCCGAAGAGATCGCCAACCTCCTCGGCATTTCCACGGAACAAGTGATGTGTGGTGCGTTCCTGCTCAAGAGTGTGGTGCCCAAGAGGCGGCACGTCCGGCGAAACTCCATGATGCTTCAGGTTGCTCTGCTGCACTCGGGGCTCATCGATGTGGTGCGTGGGCCTCAGATGCCCACCTTTAAGCCGGGCCCTGCTCTGCCGACGCCAGTGAGCCCGAAGAGCAAGAGGCCAGGGCTGTCTCGCAGCCCAACAGCCACTGCCAGCGTCATGGACTCCCAGAGCCTGGCAGAGACTCTGACATCCGAAGCTTCACCCGCCCAGAAGCCCAGGAAAAGTGTCGCACTGACACGGGCTCTGACGACCTTGAAGGACACCGAAGAAGCTTTTGCCAAGACTGTCCGGGGCATGAGCGCGTCAGCCTCCGCCCCATCGCTGCACGCAAAGAGCAGCACGCAGAGTAAAGCACAAAGCACCCAAAGCACGCAGAGCCAAAGCAACACGCAGAGCCTTTACAA